ATCCAAAAAGTTTTGGCTGAATGTCCTCAAACACATATTTACAGGCAAACTTCCAAATACCTAGCAGGTGCAAACTGCCACAGCTTGACTGACCATAGGACATCTCTGCAGATTAAAACCATCTGAAATTCCACTATTCCATTTCAAATGAAGATTATCTATGCAGTCTTTTAACAAGAATCAACATCAGACTAACAGTTCAATATGCACTAATAAATCTCACCAATTTCAAATGAATTCATTTAAGAAATATATATCATGCTCCTCAGGAAAAGTACTCAGGACTAGGACAAAGGGCCCTTAGTTTTTGCCATAGATGGTGTAAGCCGATTGAGGAGCTCTTATATAGATTGCCCCATCTGTTTCATTGTGTCCAGTCTAGCTGCAATATCAAAAATACTTTTTGATGTTCCACGTTGCTCTACATGCTTTGAGGCAATTACTACCTGTTGTTTTAACTTCTGAATGATGTCTGCTATGAAGATACTATATCTCTCCAGTATTCTTGCTGACAAAAGAAAAGTAATTGTAAAGGACGCCCAGAAATTATCATGACATTGGAAGGGTGAAGAAGACAGTATAAACTTAGTCATTATGCTTAGAATGGCTGTATTGCATCATTATGGAAAACAATAATGGTAACAATATGTATTGCCCTTTAATTTGTACTAAAGATCAAGGGTCCCATGCCTTTTTGGATCCATGACCATACTCAAATATTTGAGAAATGCTGTGGGCACCTCCACAAAATGTCTAGCTGTAGATTGTGCTGTATTTTGCAAAAACCTTAGTTTTGTGTCTACTGGACACCACAACAACTCTTTAATAAGTGATTAAGCTAATTGCTGGTGCTAATGCTTCTTTTAAATGTATGTTTTGCAACGTGCAGTAGTGGCTTCTTTGTGGAAGGAGGTTATTACATAGCTATATTGGCAACATCCTTAATATTCATTAATATACATGCTTTAAAATATTATTTACCTGCTTCATTGAAATTAACAAATAGTCAGTGGAAATGGATACTCTGCACACTTTTATCCACCAAAAGACTGCTTTTACAATACTGGGAAAAACACTCACTATACTATAATTCAATGGGATGGAGGACTTTACAAAGCCACATAGTGTATCTATATAGCATATCAACACACCTTCACAGCTTCAAATGGATAATTATTTGCATATTTAGGTCACTTCTGTTGAGGCCTAGGGTTAATTGTCAGAAATCCATATACAAATAGATGTGTGCATATTTAAAAGGGGAGGAAACAAATTTTAGATGCCTAAGGGCTCTACACTGGGGACATTTTAGCAAATGAAACTTGAGTTGCCTGCATGTGCCATGTGGTGGCTGCTGTCATCAGAACAAAATACAGTGGTACCTCAGCTCACGAACTTAATCCGTTTCAGGACTCTGGTTGCAACCTGAACTGGTCGTGAGCCAAGTCCAATTTCCCCATAAGGTTCAATGTAAATAAGATTAATCCATTCATAAATATTTTTAATCACAAAAATTTGAAACAAAGTAACAAAGAACAACAAAGTAACAAAGAACACTAACCTAGGTGGGTGGGAAGCTATTGTTTGGAGGGAGAGTCCAAACGATCATTGTGCAATAGCGATCATGCTCGGGGGGGTGGGGGAGATGGCCATGATTGCCATTGTGCCCGTGCAGGGAAGACGAGCGTGATCATGCTCGGGGGTGGAAGATGGGTGCAATGGCAATCATGCTTCAGGGGGCAAGATGGGCACGATGGCAATCACGCTCATGCAGGGAAAACAGGTGCGATCATGTTTGTGTGGCAACATGGCTGTGATTGTGGTCATCACCCAATGTGGAGTTTGCGAACTGAGGATTTTTTTTCTGAAATTTCTATTTGCAACCTGATTTGGTTGTGAACTGAGACCTTTGTGAGCAGAGGTACCCCTGTACAGCATTCAACATATTTCAGGGCCATATGGATTGAATGTTTAACTTCTGGAAGAAATAAGGAAAAAATATAAAAATACAATAGTGACTTTGGGTGATTTGGGGTGGGATAATCATTATCATACACTGTCACCTTAATTATTGACCATATCAAGGCAATCTTAAGCTTATTGCTTCCTTAAAAAAACTTTTTGAAGAAAATGTATCACTAGGTGAAATAGCTTATGTGTTATATAATTTGTAAGCAGACAATTTAAGGAAAGGATTCCTAAAAGTAACTCCAATATGTGGAGCAATTGTGTAGGCTATAATTACACTTATGTCTCTGAAATCTATAGAACTGTCTCACAAAGAGAAAAAAAATCTTATTGAGAATAGTTGCCAAATTACATTTGGAAGAAAGAAAAGCAAATAAATGTTGCAAGCTTTGTCAGAGTGTATCTAACGTATTTTTTATAGTGTTTATGCTCCCACTTCATATGATATGGTCTGTAAGCAGAGAAGAGAGAAAGGAGATAGGGAGGATCTCCAAGGTCTATTTGTTTTAGTGGCAATCTTAAGGCAGGACATTTTTTCTTCTCTGCTAAGAGGGCACATGAAAGAGAAATGTTGCAAGATGGATAGTTCTTTGCATGTGCTACTTATTCCCTTAAATCAGTGATAAGGTCATCTAGATTGGCCTGCAACTCCCTCATCCCTCACCATTGGCTATGATGGTTAGGAGTTGCAGTTCAACAACATACTCTCTACCCCTTCCCTAAACTGTTACAGTCCAACACACAGTATGTAGTCCTCACCCAATGAATAAATTGTGGATCATCGGGGTTTGAGGATGGAAAGGGTGAGATTTCCTTTTATTTTTCTTCTATTCATTGACATTCAGTATTCATAAATTGCATGAGGCCATGAAACATGTGTGTTTTATTGTAGCATTTGTATAGGAAATGTTTCTCCAGCATCCTATATATGAAATTTCATACGTTGGCAGGAAGAAATGTTTGCTGATACACTCAATAACCTCTACTGTTCAGTGGATCTATAGAAAAAGTAGCAGCTATTCAAAATAACGCAGTTTAAACTGAGTGTAAACTGGTGAGATATATATACAAGTTAGTTTTATGACTCTACCAAATATTCAAACTAGAATTTCCCAAACAGATTAAACTTTCCTCAAGTACAATCTATTTCATAGCCAGCATCAAATTCCCAGTAGCTGTTCTATTACAAATAGAATTCCAAAATACAGAACAAAGAAAGAATGCTTTATACTACTTTTGTAGTTCAATTACTTTATAGCACAAGAACACAATTTTTTACCCAACAAGCCTAATCCTGCTTACCAGGCATGTATTATGGGTTGCTTGATGCATAGTATTTCCTCTTAGTCTCAAGCAGTCAGAAAAACCAGGTGGTTTAATCAAGCCCCTGGGAGGCTGCCCTACATGGCTGCTGGGCTGTTTAATCAATGGGTTATAAGCTGTACTGGCTGGCTATAAATAAAATTGTTGGGATACATGCAAGATACCCCAAAGAGAACATCTGTAGCAATATAAATTCATAAATAGAAAGGTCAATGTTAGCTAAATTTTAAAAATTAATTGGTTTCATCCAGTGTATGTATTTAAAGACAAAACACACACAAACATAATCCAGCCAGAGCTGAGCCCATTCAAATACCATTTCCACAGGATTTCAATGGGAAAGTTGAGCACATATTTTAAGTTTTCCCCAGTGTAATTACGGGCAACTAAAAGCAATTTATTTTTATTCCATAGTGCCCCATGCTGCAGAGCATCATGATTATGAATATAAGCTTGTAAAAGAGATGTACATCCAGGATGAGGATAAAATGTCTACTGCCTTGTAAGTTTCTTGTATATTCACACTCTACTATGCAATATGTTCCATTGGTACAATATCTGAAAAGGTGGTCCAAATGTATCTTTGTTGAACTATCTCTAGTCATACTGGTACATATGTTTGAGAAATAGTTTACCTTGGGATATTTACTTCCATTTCCTGGAGTACTGCAACTGTAGAATGCCTAACAGCTCAGACATGCATGGTAAGTAAAAACTGAGATTATCATAGCACTGCAGCCCTGGTGTAGTAATTTTGCTATGAGGAAGTCCCATGTTTAATAAAGCCATATAAGCTATAATGTTAAACCATATTTGTTCTTACTCATTAAAAAGCTCTTTTTTGGTTACCTTAGATACAGTTACATTTCTAGGCAAAAAGATGGCAAGGAAAATGGATCTAGGCAAACTGGACAATCTCATTAGTAATTTGGAGATTGACAGAGACAGGTTATGATGGACATGAAATATTAAAATAAGGAAATAACATCTTTGTCAAAACTTAATCATTTAATGTGCTATTGTTACACAAGTCAGCATAAGGTATGATAGGGTGAGGTGGGAGGAACAGCAACCTTTTAATTCACCTAGAGCAGGAAAAAAAATACCAAAAATAAAGCCTTGGACCAGTCCTGCCTAGGTAACTAAATTCCAGACAGGATTTCTGGCAGACAAAATAATTTGCAATAAAGGCTAGAGTTAAAAATGTCAATAAGCAACTCTGCAGTGCCTTGCCGTGACTCTTTTGCAGCAGCACTTTTAGTTATAGATCTATGGTGATTGAAAGTTCTTGTTTATTGGAATTGTCAAATTAACTTGACAGCATAAACACATTTGCAATCTATTCCAAAGTCCAGAAATAAAGCCTTAATTATAGTAATACTCCTTCTGAGTCATACTAGTTGGGAGTCACTAATGTCAACTATTCACTTAAGAACAGTAAGTTTTCTTTCTTTCAGACAGAACACTGTGGTCTCTCCATCATTCTATGTTTAATTCAGTTCTTTCATAAACAAGGAAGAGTCAGGCAGTTTTGACTGAGTAAGAAAAGTTATGCTTCCATTTTCCATTTGAATTATCCCTACTTCAAATGTCTATTTCATTAAATGTCAATCATCTGGTGAAAAGGAGTCTTCTTGTTACTTGGGACTGTCTTTCCAAACTCATTGGTGGGTGGTGAAACGTTTATGTAGGACAATAAAGAGTCTTACCTGCTGCTTTGGCAACATCAGCAGTGGTGACATTGAGGGCATTTGAGCGCACTTGGAAAGTCACAGCTGGGCCCAGCATGCTACAAAAATATTCAAACCAAGAGATTAGTAACCAAGAAAAACAGCATACATTATATATTCAAGATGATCTCTTCAATTTGCTTTATTAGGTTCAGCTATGATTTTATAAATTATTTTACATTTCACTCCCAAGCTAGGGAGCACATTCAATTTCATTACCAATGAAAATACTGAACAAAATTGAATCATTCTATTTTCATTCATTTACAAACCAAATGCCAAGAGCAGCCTTCTTCAACCTGGTGCCCTCCAGATGTCATTGGATTGAATTCAGGGTCTGCCTATTGTGCAAGGAAGGGGCCTTCTGCAGGAGAAGGATTTCATTCATAGAAGGTCCTTTGCCCAATTTGGGGTATCTTATCTCCACCCATACTACAACTTACCCATTCAGCAGACTCTCCTATTTCTTTGCATAGCATTTCCAGAGTGCTATACGAGTTGCTGCAGGGAGGAATGTATGGAAAAGTCTACTTCCATCAGTACAGTTGTTGCAGCATAAATTTGAATCCAGCTCTTGGAACATAACACTGAAAAGCACTGAAAACACTTGGAAGAACTGAATGGAGTTGCCATGGACACGGCATGTTGGAGGGCTTTCTTTCATATGGTCATCCTAACTTGGAGAAGACTTCACAACACATTAACAACACTATCCAACATGATAAAGGACAGAGTGCAGATTTCAGTGTATTTTTTACTGCCAGAACTACACAGAACTCTGCCTCATGTTAATTCTAGTAACAGTAGCATCTAAATAATGCATATGAAAATATGTAACCAGAAGAAAAAAATAGAAGAAATGGGCAAAAAGGATCTCACCCATGGAAAGCCTTGCTGAGAAAGGTATTTATATTGGTGGCAGTGGCATACCAGATACTGCACTGTCACTTCAGCTGCCACAAACAGCTAATATTAATTACTATTAAATTGTGTGAACCCTGGCTAATATTAATTACAATTATTTCAACAATGTTCTTAAATACTAATTTGCATTGAAGTGCATACTACTGTTTGCAACCCTGTTCATTTCACTACAAACAAACTATTCTTACATAGAATAGTACGAACATTCTTCCCGATCCGGCTGACTAGTAAAGAGTGTTGCCTCCTTTGGGCCAGTTTACATCACACACCAATCCAACAAATTGTGCAGATGAAAAACTGGTTATAAATACAAATCCATGACGCCTAGCTGGTCAAATTAATCATAACACCCAAGAAATATTGCTACATATTTGCAATGTCAAGTAAAGGAACTTAATCATATTTGAGAATTACATTGTACTGCCAGCTACAATCATTCAAATTTTCAAGAAAACATTTTTCATTTTCATGGATTTTACAAAGAAAATACTCCATTTCACAAGGTAAATGCTCCAGGCCTATGCTGAGATGAACGCACAGAGCAAGGATAGTAGGAAATCAATCCTGCCTATTCAAAATGCAGTGTTACCTTTTAAAAGGCAACTCACAGCATATTACACTGGAAAATATTACATGAACTTATAAAGTGAAACACTTCATGCTACCTTGAAAAAGCAACCCATTTCTTGCTTATTTAAAAACAAACATCTGAAAGATGTCACCATTTCTTTCTACTATGAGTTACTGGCTTATGCTTAATTTATCAAGGAGGACATCAATACTGAAATTATTTGATTCCAGTTGAATGCTATTATCCTTCCTTCCCCAGTTTTATCCTTTTGAACACCACACATTGGGAATAAATTTCAGCAATTATCATAATCATCAGTATTATTACTCTAATTCTCACATGGAAGAGCAGGTTGCTTACCTGTAACTGATGTTCTTCGAGTGGCCATCTGTGCAGTCACACATATGGGTTCTGCGCCTGCGTAGTGCCTTTGGCCGGAAGATTAACAGCTAATGGTCTTTGGCGGGAACTCCACTCCCCCTCCCCGCTAGCATTATATAAGGAGCGGAGTGTCCACCATTTTCCAGTCTTTGAAAAACCGACGTTTGTTCTTATAATAAGGTTTGTCAGTATGACAAGATAGCCAAATTCAATAGTGGTATGACACATAGCAAAGAGATCATAGTATCGAAAGAAATAGTCGGACCACCCATGACACCAAGTGGAGTCAGAGGGTGGGTTGTGACTGCACAGATGGCCACTCAAAGAACATCAGTTACAGGTAAGCAACCTGCTCTTCTTCGTCGTGGCCTCTGTGCATTACACATATGGGTAGAATAACAAGCTTACCCCAAATGGAGGAGGGAGGTGACATCACGAAGGACAGAAGAAAGGACAGCTCTGCCAAAAGAGCAATCCTGCCTGGCATGGACATCGAGCCTATAATGTCTGGCGAAGGTACATGGGGTAGCCCAAATGGCTGCCCTGCACACATCTTCTATCGGGACCCCTGATGCAAAGGCCGAAGAAGCAGCAACAGCTCTTGTAGAATGACCTCTTGGAGTAGATGGCAAGTCCAACTTAGCTAACTGATAAGACAGGACAATTGTATTTACTATCCATTTCGAAAGACGTTGTGAAGTGACTAGACAGCCTTGGTCATGTTCCAAATATTTCACAAAAAGTCTATTGGAATGCTGAACAGACTCAGTCCTGGACCTATAAAAGGCTAAGCAACGACGAACGTCCAGCATATGTAGAGATCGCTCTATTGGGTTCGAAGGGGTCGGAAAGAATGCCGGTAAAACAATCTCCTGTTGCATGTGAAACAAAGTAGCGACTTTCGGAAGGAAAGACGGATCCAGCCAAAGAACCATTTTTTCCTTATGAAAATTTAGAAAAGGGGGGTCTACCCGAAGGGCGCAGAGTTCCGAGGATCTACGGGCTGAAGTCACTGCAACAAGGAAGGCAGTCTTCCATGAAGCAAGGCGTAGATCGATCGTCGCCATGGGTTCGAAAGGTGATCGAGTCAGCGCTTGTAAAACCACCGAAAGACTCCAGGTGGGCATTAGAGGTCTTATAGTTGGATGCAGATTACTCAATCCTCTCAAAAATCTTTTAATCAGAGGTTGAGCAAAAATGGAGAGACCATGTATAGTTTCCCGGTAATGTGAAATCGCTGCTGTATAAACTTTTATGGACGAAGGTTTGAGTCCAGACTGATGCAATTCAAAGAGAAACTGAAGTATCTGTGAAACAGAAGCCGAGGAGGCCGGAAACGAGTGTAAATTGGCAAAGTTAGAGAATCTCTGCCATTTTGCCGCGTACGACTTCCTAGTAGATGGTCGTAGCGCAGATTCGAGAATATACTGTAGGTCTGGGTGTAGACTCTGCTGAGCAGGAATGGCCGGGACGGTTGGTGGTGTCGATACCGATGTATCGCAGCTGGTCATCGTATCCTCCATGCAGTCAGTTTCAGCGACAGCAAGTCTGGGTGGCGGATCGTGCCCTCCCTCTGCGTAAAGAGATAAGGAAGAAGAGGGAGTTGGAGAAATTCTTCTTGGAAGACATGAAGGAGAGTTGAGAACCATGGCTGGCGTGGCCACCAGGGGGTGATCAGTAGCCCTGTGGCCCCTTCGTGAATGATCTTTGCCAACACTCTCATGATGAGTGGGATCGGAAGGAAAGCATAAAAAGTCATATTTGTCCAGGGGATCATGAAAGCGTCCCCGAGCGAGTCCTGACCCATCCCCACTCTGGAACAATAGGCCGTGCATGCCCTGTTCTGTTGTGTGGCAAACAGGTCGGTGTCTGGCTGGCCCCATCGGTGAAACAGCATGTCGCGAACCCAATGGTCTAGCTCCCATTCATGTGACCACGACATATGTCTGCTCAAGAGATCTGTGTCTGTATTTTCTGTGCCCACAAGGTGAACTGCTAGTAGAGTGATACCTCTCGGTATGCACCAGTCCCAAATCTGCATGGCCAGTCAGGCTAGTTTCCGGGATCGGGTTCCCCCTTGTTTGTTCAAATAAAAGACCATCGCCATGTTGTCTGAGGTCACCTGGACAACCTGGTGTAGAAGCACATCCTCGAATGATTGTAGGGCTTTGAAAACGGCAAGAAGTTCCAGAAAATTGATATGGTTCCTGCAATCCCGGTGACTCCATTTCCCCTGGGTACGTAGATCGGAGCAAACTGTTCCCCATCGCATACCATCCCAGCAGGGACGCATTGGTGCCGAGGGTTACTGTAGGGTACCGGGGTCGAAACGGAATGCCTACAGTCAGATTGGCTTGGTCTATCCCCCATAACAGGGACTGAAGAACGGAAGCCGGGAGTCGAATCCGTTTGGTAGGTGGATCTGTCTGTGGTCGAAACATTCCGTTAAAGAACAGTTGAAGGGGACGTAGCCTGAGTTTGCATGCAGAACCACAGCGATGGAAACAGACATGTGTCCCAACAGGCTCTGAATAGACCGGGTGGGGACGGTTCTTGCTTGTCGAATCCGAGCGATGCACTGAGCAATCGCATGCCGTCTGTCCCAAGAAAGGAAGGCTCTTGCCAACGTCGAATCCAGCCAGGCTCCAATAAAGTTGATCACCTGCGTAGGGAGAAGGGAAGATTTCTGTTGATTAATACAGAGTCCGAGATCGTGCAATAGAGCACATGTAAACTCAACAGCAGACGAAAATCCTGCTTCTGTGTCGGAGACCAGCAACCAATCATCAAGGTACGGGTATATCCGAATTCCACGTAATCGAAGGTGTGCACAGACAGGAGCCATACACTTCGTAAAAATCCGTGGTGCAGTGGCTAATCCAAATGGTAGCACATTGAATTCGTAGATTTCAGAGTCCACTGCAAAACGAAGGAAACACCTATAACTTGGATGTATTGAAATATGAAAATAGGCATCCTTCAGATCCAATGAGGCACACCAATCCCCTCTTCCCAGTAATGGGAGAATACTTTGAAGTGTGGTCATCCAAAACTTCTTTGGTGTTATGAATCTATTGAGAGCTCTCAAGTCCAATATTGGTCTGAGACCCACATCTCGTTTCGGGACCGTAAAGTATCTGGAATAGAACCCGTGGAATCCCTCTGATAACGACAGGCGACGAA